CCACACTAATAAAAGAAAGGATAAGAACCACATGATCCTGTCAACAGATGCAGAAAAAGCATTTGACAAAATATACCATCCATGCTTGATAAAAACACTCAACAAAGTAGGGATAGATGGAACATGGCTTAACATCATCAAAGCCACGTATGAAAGACCCACAGCTAATATAATCCTCAATGAGAAAAACTTTCCCCTATGGTCAGGAACAAGACAAGGATGTCCACTCTCACCATTACTATTTAACATAGTACTGTGAGTCTTAGCCTCAGCAATGAGACAACAAAAAGAAATAAAGAGCATAAAAATTGCAAGGAAGAAGTCAGACATTCACTATTTGCAGATAATATGATACTCTGTGTAGAAAACCTGAAAGACTCCACCAAAAATTGCTAGAACTAATACATGAATATAGCAAAGTCGCGGGATATAAAATCAACATGCAGAAATCTGTTGCATTTCTATATGCCAATAATGAAGCAGCAGAAAAAGAAATAGAGGAATCTATTCCATTTTCAATTGCATAAAAAACAATGTTACCTAGGAATAAACCTAACTAAAGAGGTAAAAGATCTGTACTCTGAAAAGTATAAAGAAATTGAAAGGGACACAAAGAAATGGAAAAGAATTCCATGCTCATGGATTGGAAGAACATCATTAAAATGTCTATACTACCCAAAGCAATCTACACTTATAATGCAATCCCTATCAAAATTACATTATTAGGTATTTACCCAAAGGATACAAAAATACAGATTTGAAAGGGTGCATACACACCAATGTTTATAGCAGCATTATCAACAATAGCCAAACTATGGAGAGTGCCCAATATCCACTGACTGATGAATGGAAAAAGAAGATGTGGTGTATATCTATACAATGTAATATTAGTCATCAGAAGGAATGACATCTTGCCATTTGCAAAGATGTGGATGAAGCTAGAATGTATTATGCTAAATGAAATAACTCAATCAGAGAAAGACAAATACCGTATGATTGCACTCATTTGTGGAATTTAAGAAACAAAGCAGATGAACATATGGAAAGAGGAGGAAAAAAAAAGAAGAGAGGGGAAACAAAACCACAAAAGACTCTTAATGATAGAGAACAAACTGAAAGTTGATGGAGGGAAGTGAGTGGGAGATTGACTCGATGGGTGATGGGCATTAAGGAGGGAACTTGTTTTGATGAGAGCACTGAGTGTTGTATGTAAGTGATGAATTACTGAATTCCACTCCTGAAACTAAATTGCACTGTATGTTAACTAAAATTTAAATAAATTTATAAATAAATAAATAGTATAAACTCAGAAAAAAATCAACAAAAGTCCAACCACAAAAATGAGAAACCTTCATCAGTAGGAGGACCAAAAGTAATAAGCAGTATTTGTTAATTGTCAAACATATGGTATAGAATAGATGCTTGTCTTCCAAAGGAAGGAGATATTGTGGTGGAAGCCTTCTTCAGGAAGGCGAGATTTTGAAATGTAAAGAAGAAGGGTACATACCCTATGACTTATTAATTTATAATGAATGTCAAAGAAACTTGCACATGCATACCGGAAGACATGTATAGCAAAACACTGGAGACAACCTACATGCCCACTGACAGGAGAATAAATCAATGGTGGTATACACACAGAATGACATAGTATACAGTGGTGAAAATGAATGAATCACAGCTACAGGAACAGCATGGATGGATATGGTAGCATGATGTGGAATAAAAAAGTAAGTCCCAGGGCGCCTGGGTGGCTCAGTCGGTTAAGCGTCTGTCTTTGGCTCAGGTCATGATCTCGCGATTCATGAGTTCGAGCCCCTCATCAGGCTCTGTGCTGACAGCTCAGAGCCTGGAGCCTGTTTCAGATTCTGTGTCTCTCTCTCTCTGCCCCTCCCCTGCTCATGCTCTGTCTCTCTCTGTCTCAAAAATAAATAAAAACATTAAAAAAAAATAAGTCCCATAAAACTATATATATACATACACACACACACGCACGCACACATATATATATGAACACTCAGTGCTCATCAAAACAAGTGCCCTCCTTAATGCCCATCACCCATTGAGCCAATCTCCCACCCACTTCCCTCCATCAACTTTCAGTTTGTTCTCTATCATGAAGAGTCTCTTGTGGTTTTCAAAAATGAACTATTGGGACCTCATCAAAATAAGGAGCTTCTGCACAGCAAAGGAAACAATTAGCAAAACTAAAAGGCAACTGACAGAATGGGAGAAGATGTTTACCCAAGCGGCCGTGTCAGATAAAGGGTTGGTATCAGAATCTATAAAAAAAAGAACTTATCAAACTCAACACCAAACATAAATAATCCAGTGAAGAAATGGAGCCAAAGACATGAATAGACACTTCTCAAAGACATCAGATAATAGCTTGACACATGAAAACATGTAACATCACTCATCATCAAATCAAATCAAAACAATGAGATACCACCTTACACCCGTGCAGCTAACATTAACAACTCAGGCAACAGCAGATATTTAAGGGATCACCGGAAAGAAGGATCTCTTTTCCATTGTTGAGTGTGGCAGTGAAGCTGGTGCAGCCACTCTGGAAAACAGTATGGAGGTGCCTCAAAAAACTAAAAATAGAACTACCCTCTGACCTGTGAATTTGTGGGATAAAGCATTTGGCCATAAGGATACAGGCGTGCTGATGAAGGGACACATACTGCCCATGTTTATAGCAGCACTATCAACAACAGCCACAGTATGGAAAGAACCCAAATATCCATGGTGGATGAATGGATAAAAGAAGATGTGGGTATGTATACAATGAGTATTACTCAACGGTAAAGAATCAAAGAAATCTTGCCATTTTGCAGCTACATGGATGGAACTGGAGGTATTATGCTAAGTGAAATTAGTCAGTCAGAAGACAAAAATCATATGACTTCACTCATATGAGGGACTTTAGAACAAAACAGATGAACTTAAGGAAGGGACACAAAAAATAATATAAAAAACAGGGAGGGACAAAACAGAAGAGACTCACTTAAATATGGAGAACAAACAGGGTTGCTGGAGGGTTGGGAGGGATGAACTAAATGGGTAGGGGCACTAGGAATCTACTCCTGAAATCATTGTTGCACTATATGCTAACTAATTTGGATGTAAATTTTTAATAAAAAATAAAATCAAATAAATCACAGGTATTTTTTTAAAAAGAGGTCTCTTGTGGTTTTGTTTCCCTCTCTTCTCTTTTTTTCCTCCTCTTCCATATGTTCATCTGCTTTGTTTAAATTCCTATAAGTGCAATCATATGGTATTTGTCTTTCTCTGATTGAGTTATTTCACTTAGCATAATACATTCTTCATCCATCTATGGGTATGTGTGTGTATGTGTGTGTGTGTGTGTGTGTGTGTATATATATATATATATATATATATATATATATATATATATAGTATGATGTCCTTTTCCTGAAATTTACAAATAGGCCAAACTAAACTACATGTTGTTTAGAAGTGCACACACAAACACACACACAATAACACTACTGGGAAAATAAAAGGAAGGGAAAGATAATGCAAAAGCAAAATCGCAGGTTATTGGTGGGGCTGTGGGGGGGCAGGGGATGAAACAGGGTAGGAGCATGGAGTAAGATGTGTTATTGCAAATGCTTAAGTTTGGTAGCACATTCATAATTGTACAATTAAAAAAATAGAAGAGATGTGGATGCAGAAGTGTGTAAGGCATTGTCAGGACCATGAGTAGAATGGAGATACTAGGGCAAATAATTTCTATATGGTGTTATGGGTAGATATTATTGGAAAATGAACTGGATCTGTATATGGTAGGACTTTTCCCCCATCTCTTAATTTTTATGTATCTTTAATTTTTAAATTTCAGCATAGTTAACATACTATGTTACATGAGGTTCAGGTGTACAACATAGTGATTCAACTTCTCAATATATTGTGCTATGCTTACCTCAAGTATATCGTCATCTGTCACTGAATATGGTAGGACTTTGAACCAGGGAATTGCATACTGCAAATTGTGTTTATTTTTCATTTTAGTTTTTGTTTTTGCATGTTGATATATTTTTATTCTTTAGAATAATTGGGGAGTGTGTTTATGATTATTTAAATACCATGATTAATAAAAGCCATAAATTTGTCTTAGTGCCTTTGAGGTTCATTCCAGTTGTGTGATATGTATATATGTATGTATGTATGCATGTATGTATTTACTAATTTTTTTATTTAAGTATAACCAACACACAATGTTACATTAGATTTAGGTGTACAACATAGTGATTCAACTTTTCTATCTGTTATGCTATGCTCCCCTCAAGTGTAGATACCATCTGTCACCATACAAAGCTATTAGAATATTATTGACTATATCCCCTATGCTATGTCTTTTATTCCTGTGACTTATTCATTCTATAACAAGAAGCCTGTATCTCCCACTCCCCTTCACCCTTTTTGTCCATCTCCCCACCCACCTTCCCTCTGGCAACCATCAGTTTGCTCTCTGTATTTATAGGCCTGATTCTGCTTTTTGTTGTAAGTTGTTTTAATTTAATTTTATAAATATGTATTGAGACTTACTATTGGTAATCTAATTATGTATAAAATGACTAACACTGGTTTGGGATTATGGAATTAGGAATGGAGAGGAGTGGCAACAAGATATATTGCCAAAGGCTAACAGGATAGGATTAAGTGGCCTACTGGATATGGAAGGTAAAAAGTAGGGAGGAGTCAGAGTCGACCCTGGAGTTTCATCTGGCTGAGTGGTGGAGTTAAAAAAACAAAACAGAAACAGGGAAGATGACACAGGATATTGTGAGTTCAATACAGGAAGTCACTGTAAGATGTTTCATTAGGCTTTGAGATGCCTTTGATATACCTGGTTTTCCATGGGGAGCAGTTGTCAGGGGCTTCAGTCTGCTATAAAAGGGGAATGAAAATTTCCCCCATAGATAAATGAACTTTTGATTAGTTCTTCATTTTGTGTTTATGTCTTTTAGCTAAACTACACATCCAATTTCCAAAGCCACACCCTGGTCAAGAAGTGAGGATGTCTTCAAAACAATTTCAGAAATACATACAGTTGGTTGTATCTGAACTCAGGGGCAATGAAGATCATGTTCTGGAAACTGTTGTGGAGTTTCTGATGAATACTTTAGAAAGGAGCCCTACTGAGAACCTGAGGAATTGTGCCAGGCGGAAGTGGCTATACCAAATCCAACATGCTGCAGAGACAAGTGGGGTATCTTTGGAGCCAGTGTACACCGAGACCTTTAAGGCCCTCACCCAGGTATGTTTTTCTAAAGTGAAATATAAGAGGAAAAATTTCCTCCTAGTATGTGATGTTCAATGGTTGCAAAGGGGGAGCACACTAAATTCTCTTGAAAAATTACTGAGTACTGCTATAGATGTTTTGTTCATTCCAAAACATTACAGTGACCCAAAGCCTAGGAAAGACACAACTGGAATGATTGCAGGTTGGGAAGGTAGCAGTAGAGAGGAAAGGTATAAGAGACAGAATTGTGTCTTGGGATTTCTAATTTCATTTGTGCTGGGAGTCAATAAGCTTAGAGAAGACAATAGGCTAATATTGAAAAATACCAGTAAGGAGATGGTACAGGCAGTTCAAGCTACATTTCCCTTGAAAAATGTTTTAGGAGTCAGTTTAAAAAGGAACTATTTAGGGTCGTCTGGGTGGCTTAGTCAGTTGAGCATCCAACTCCTGATTTTGGCCTAGGTCATGATCCCAAGGTCATGGGATCGGACCCTGTGTGGGGTTCTCGCTGAGTATGGAGCCTGGTTAAGACTCTCTCTTTCTCGCTCTCCCTCTGCCCCTCTCCCCTGCTTGCACACACTGTCTCTCTCTTCCTCTAAAATGAAAAAAATTTTAAAAGAACAATTTAAGGGGCACCTAGTTGGCTCAGTCAGTTAAGTGTCTGACTCTTGGTTTCCACTCAGGTCATGATCTCATGGTTCATCAAATCGAGCCCCATGTTGGACTCTGTGCTGACAGCATGGAGCCTGCTTAGGATTCTCTCTCTCCTCTCTCTCTGCCCCTCCCCCCACTTGCTGACTATCTTTCTGTCTCAAAATAAACATTAAAATTTTTAAAAGAAACTATTTAAATCATAAGGCCATTAGGAAGTAGAATCCAATATCACACAATATTTCATTGCACTGCCTAGAAACAAGCTGATACTATTATAGAATCATGTCACTTAAAACACATGACTCTGATGGACCACTGCCCACAGCTTTGCCACCCCCTCAGGCACTCCCAGCTTGCTGCCCCTCCCGGACAGAAACAGCCAGCATGGCTGCGATAGATAGATAGATATACATATAGATATATAGATATATAGACATATAGATATAGATAGATAGATAGATAGATAGATAGATAGATAGATAGATAGATATCACAGATTCCACTAGTTCAGGGAACTTGGAGCCATTCAGCTCAATTAAATAGCAACACTTAGTTAATGGATTCATCAACTGAATGGCTGAATTTTCCAATGTACTTTGAAATGGTGTGACCAGGAGCAGAAGACCAATCTAGAAAAACAAGTATTACTCCAACTTGCTTCAGAGGTCTGTGGTACCCTAAGAGAAATCTTACTACATTTGCTAGTTACTCTATAGATCTTTTATGTAGAAAAGGAAGAATAAAGGCAAAAGAAAAAAAAAATACATGAAAAGTAAACCTAGTGCTTGCTTCAGCAGCACATACACTAAAATTGGAACAATACAGAGAAGATTAGCATGGCCCCTGCTCAAGGATGTCATGCTAATTTGTGAAGCATTCAATATTTTTCCAAAAATGAAAAGAAAAAAAAAAGCAAACCCAAATATATAGAAAGGGAAGGCAAAAATCAAGGAAAACATTTGTAATGTCCCCAAATTATGGACATGCTCAATAATGTGTCAACACAATATTGTTAATAACATAATAATATTTTAGGTACAGAGAATTTTCTGTTATTTTAGTTAGAAATAGTAGTTGCATAAACTCTGAAATCTGAGACCCCAAGAAATTTTTTCCTGGCATAAATCAAATATCATAGCCAAACTATGTTAAGAATTCCCTGAGAGCATTTTTTCCTACATTCACTTCAGAGTATATGGTGAAAATGTACTCAAGAAATATGAGTTAAATGAAGCCATATTCTTGCCCTGGCCCTCTAAGATAAATACTTCTAACTGAAGCTGAGACGATATGACTATAGTTCAAAGGGATCCAAGTTTTAAACCTCTAAATTTGAGAAGACTTGAGAGATTTTTTTTTAGTCTAGTTGACATAAAGTAAATCCATTCCATTCATTAAAACTCAGATTTGGGGGGCATTTGGGTGGCTCAGTTGGTTAGGCGTCCAACTTTTGATTTTAGCTCAGGTCATGATCTCACAGTTGTAGAATCTAGCCCCTCATCAGGCTCCACACTCACTGCGGAGATTCTCTCTCTCTCTCTCTCTCTCTCTCTCTCTCTCTCTCTCCCTCCCTCCTTCTCTCTCTCTTTCTCTCTCTCTCTCTCTCTTTCTGTCTCTCTCAAATAAAAAACAAAACCAAAAACTCAGGTTTAGGAGACAGCTGTGGTGTCAGCCTTTTCCCCACTGCCCATGAATGGTAATTATTGTGGTCAGATGCACAAACTGGCTAATGATGGGAGACGTGATTAAGAGAATAACTCTTAATCACCAAATACATCATCAGAAACATTTTGACATAGGATGCTGAATCCCATGGAAATAAGAAGATCAGTGCTCACATTTCCCTCTTAGAAGAAAACAGACTACTGCCTGATAGAGGGAATGTTCTATTGAGGAACGTAGCTTCTACTTTAGATGATGCTCCATTTGTACTGAACAGGGTACTCTACAGGGACATGAAGGGAATCAGGTAAGAATTTCTTGAAGAGGTTGGTTTTACACTTCTAAAAAAAATAGTTCCCTTTCTGAAATAAACTAGTATAGAAATCCCAGTTAGCTTCCCAAGAGAGAAAGACCTCAGGCCACCAATGCTTCTGGAGTGGGAGGTGATGGGTTTCCACTCTTAAATAATTTCACCTGGTCAATTCTAGCGCTGACTCCTAGGCAGTGATTTGCCATGTTGGAACTCTGCCTCACAACATCAGCTCAATTATTTCTGCCTGCTTTATAAGTTATGTCTCCAGCATCCTGTTCATATATGTTTTCTCTGGTATGAGCTAAGCTTGTTTTTTAATCTTTTTCTAAAGTCAGACTCTCCAAACTAGTAATTTCATGAGTCCACTTCTCTGACATATAATGACAATAACTATGAATGGAGAATTGATCTAATTTCCTGCCCGGTTTCATCTAAAGCCTTCTCCCGTGCCTTTCTACCACCTTCTAATTCCTATTCCTCAGCTTTACAGTAGTGGATGAAGGGAAGCCAATACATGTCCCCCAGGTTCAGCACCATGGGAACATCTTCTTCTGGAACAATTCCATCAAGAAGAGTGATCAAAATGGTTCATTCCTGGCTCTGCCTCTTCAGGATGCATATATGAGGGTCTTTGGGGTCATGGCTGTTGACACCCTAAGAGATCCCCAGAAAATAAACATCTTTGTGCCTCATGAGATCAGATTCTATCAGGTAAGTCATGGAGGAATTCTTCAAGAGCAATGGTAAGATGGCCTCTCCTTCTATACTTTTTAAAAAGTAAAACCTAAAACCAGATGAAAATAGATAGTGTCATCATACTTGTTACTGTTTACTGTGTATGTCTAACAGTCTTTGGAGAGGTTCTCCATTACACATAGAAAGACTCTCAGCCTCATCTATGCTTTAGCTTCTGGGAAGATTGTTAATATGTGTCCTATTGCATTAATTATAGGAACAGCATTTTATGCTGTAACACTGAAATCCAACCATTAGACTACTAACTAAGACCCACAAAGTAGGAATGAATCTTTAGAAGGGAGATATTTATGTTTTATTAGTAGGGGGAACCTAGAAATCTTTTACTCTTTCCACAAATGTATTCCCATGACTCTTGATTTCAGTGTCATGATTTTTAAGGATGAAGAATGTAGGAAGAAACCTAAATGTTTCTTGAGTATTCATATTTTCAAATTAGATCACAAAAAAGATGGGCACTTAAAATTTTTTTCAATGTTTATTTACTTTTGAGAGTATGAACAGGGAAGGGGCAGAGAGATGGGGAGACACAGAATCCGAAGCAGGCTCCAGGCTCTAAGCTGTCAGCACAGAGCCTGACATGGGGCTTGAATCTATGAACCAGGAGATCATGACCTGAGCTAAGGTTGGATGCTTAACCGACTGAGCCACCCAGGTGCTCCAAAAGATAAGCACTTTTAAGACTATAACTGGATCATTTATTTCTACAAGCATTTTAATTTGATTTTATGAATAGTAATTGCAATGAAGAAAGATTGAAAGCCTTTATGGAGGCGATGGACTGGGATGTAGCAACAATCAGGAACTTGCTATGCCTTTACCACGTATTCCCCTCTAAGCGTCTGGCTCTTAATGTTTATTTACCACAATTTAAAAATTTTCTCTTCTCAGGGCACCTGGGTGACTCAGTCAGGTAGATTAAACTCTTGATTTCAGCTCAGGTCATGATCTCACAGTTTGTGAGTTCGAGGCCCTCATTGGGCTCTGTGCTGTCAGCACAGAGCACTGTGCTTGGGAATCTCTCTCCCTCTCTCTTTGCCTCTCCCACTCTCTCTATCTCTCTCTCAAAATAAATAAACTTAAAAATTTTTTTTCTCTTCCCATTTATTGGATGTATAACTGAGGAAAGTGGTGGAATCTTTTTTTCTGGACATTTTAAAAAAACGTTTATTTAGTTATTTTGAGGGAGAGAGAGCTCAATGTGGGGCTCAAACTCACAAACTGTGAGATCATGACCTGAGCCGAAATCAAGAGCTGGACCCTTAACTGACTGAGTCACCTAGGTGCCCCTGGACATCTTCTTAATAATGTGATTCACTCTTATCTGATATAAGAATGATATAAAGATATCAAGAAGAAAATGGAGGAGTATGGAGTTAAAAGTAGGTGAATTATATATAATCTTATTAGAGACCATGTCAAAATGAACTTTATTTTTTATTTTTTTAAGTTTATTTATTTTGAGAGAGAGAGAAAGCATGCTCAAGTGGGGAAAGGGCAGAGAGAGAGAAAGAGAGAGAGAGAGAGAGAGAGAGAGAGAGAGAGAATCCCAAGCAGACCCTCTGCTGTCAGCACAGAGCCTGACGTGGGGCTCAAACCCTTGAACCGTGAGATCATGACCTGAGCTGAAGTTGGACACTTAACCACCCAGGTGCCCCTCAATATGAACTTTAAATAGATTCTCCAGGACCTAGAGGTAAAGTGTCCTGAGTTACCCTTAGATGCCTCGGGTTGAATTATAAAATTCATATAGTCTTGAAGAATTTGTGGTTCCTAGAGTCTCTTGACAAGACAACAGATGCGTTCTAAGGACTTCATCCCCCTTCTCTGTGTAACAGCCTCTCTCAATGCCTATAAGAAGACTATGTTATCTAGCATGTTGCAGGCCTTGGACCAGAGTACAACCTGTACTGATCTGATGACAAAAAGGACAGAAAGATCCAGAAATTGAAATTGCATCATATCAGGGCAGCTCCTACCCATCTGCCCAAGGCTGTCATTAGCTCCTGGCTTTAAATATTTTTTCTCATTTCAAACTTTATCTTGTTCTTCTGACTCTATTCTCTGATAGCACATATCACAAATTTCACTGGATGATTATCAGGAAACATAATAAAGTTATGCGGATCTTGTAGTAGATATCTCCTTACATCTTTGATTTCTTGAGATCTTTTTTTTTTTTCATAGTAGAATCTGGAACACTGCCTTTTGAGAAATGATGAATACTTTGTCTGAAGTAGGTCATCATTAATTTAAAAAGATAATCCGGGGCACCTGAATGGCTCAGTGGTTGAGCATCAGACTTCAGCTCAGGTCACGATCTCAGGGATCGTGAGTTTGAGCCCCACATCGGGATCGCTGCTGTCAGCACACAGCGTGCTTCAGATCCTCTGTCCCCCTCTCTCTGCCCCTCCCCCACTTGTGCTTTCTCTGAAAAATAAATATTAAAAAAAGATAAGCCAATTGGTGCATTATTCTGCTATTTTAAAAAGAAAAGACAGTTGGGGTGCCAGGGTGACTCAGTCAGTTAAGTGTCCGACTTTGGCTCAGGTCATGATCTCACAGCTTGTGGGTTCAAGTCCCATGTTGGGCTCTGTGCTGACAGCTCAGAGTCTGGAGCTGCTTAGGATTCTGTGTCTCCCTGTTTCTGCTTCTTCCCTGCTCACACTCTTTCTCTCTTCTCTCTCAAAAATAAACATTAAAAACAACTTTTTCAAAAGACAATTAAAATTTTCTGTCTCTACAGGGTGTTGCCAATGTCTTTAGCACTGCCTATCACTATGTCCACAGCAGGGAGCACATCCTGCATGTTGTGATCACTGGCATCGCCTGGCTCTGTGACATCACATCTGACATCACCAACATCACTACATACTTCATTGAGCCTGGCGCAAAGCAGGTAGGCAAGGTGGGGCAATGTTAGACCTCTAACAGAGTTTCTAGATAGTATTGTCTTGCTAATATGCTAAAAGTGTATTTAGTTAGCTATTATGCCAACTGGGGACGTACTTCCCATGATCCCAACTGAAGATCCTTGGTTATGAGTGGCAAAAGTCCATCTCAAACTGCCTTAGGCAAAAAAGGGAATTGATTGACTTGTGTGATCAAAATCAAGAATGGACAGGAGTCAGGCTGGCTTCCAGGATGACCCGAAAGAACCAGGAATTCGATATCATCAGCACTCTCTCATGTTCTTTCTCTCTGAAAGTCTCATGTGTGCTTCCCTCTACACTTTAGCTTGGTCCTTCCAGTTTAAGATAGGCTTTCTCCATAGGGCAAGCCAGATGCTTAGTAACTAAAAAAGAATCATCTTGTTTCAATTTGGAAAACCCAAGAGAGCATTTTTAGTCTATCCTGAGACATGGCCCCCATCCGGGGGTGGGGCTGGCGGAGTTTACAGTAACTGGCAGCCCCCACCAGAATCGTATGGGTGAAATAGGAAGGAATGAGGCACTACTCTTTTGGAAAGACATGATTACATCACACCAGTTAAAGAAAAAAGGCCCATCTATAATGTAATGAGTTTTTGCTGAATGTTTGTTGTGCTTCTTTACACTCTCCCCCCCCGACCAAGTTTTTATTTAAATTTCAGCTAGTTAATGTACAGTGAAATATTAGTTTCAGGTGTAGAATTTAGTGATTCATCACTTACATACAGCACCTGGTGCTCATCACAACCAGTGCCCTCCTTAATCTCCATCACCTATGTAACCGATCCCCCCACCTTCATCCACCTCCTCTCCAGTAACCATCAGTTTGTTCTCTATA